TCGAAAATTAAATGACCACTTCTCTTCATGTTGACTGGGAAAAACCTCAGGGTTTTCCAGCCAGGGTTCTGGAAGTTTCCATACATAATGTCAGGAAGAGGTCTAGTGCAGCAGGAGAGAGACAATTTTGTGGGGGAGAGTGCCCACGGGTGTTCTGTCTTGTATTCTAGATCTGAAAATGTCTTCAAGGGAACATTGGAGTAGTTCTTCGCACTAACTACAGAAAGTACACGCTCAGAAGAAACAGTGTTGTCTCTGTGTAGGGGTGGTTTATTTGGTTTTTATTGTTTGTTTACGGTACAGGGATCAACACTGACTATTTTCAGGCTTTGGGGAGGTGGCAGACCAAACACAATAATTTTTTCCAAACTCCTCTTCTTTGCAGAACACAGAAAATCTCACAGAAGCGAGCCCCTTGACCTGGGAAAAGTATGCCAAGCTAAGGAAACAGCACTCCCTTTTGAAGTAGGAGTGACAAAGGTGAAGAATGGCCTTTTTCATAAGCATTTGGGCATTTTAATCTAATTAACATCATTCACTTCTTACTGGAACATGACAGGCGTCAGGGCTGACTGAACCCAACGTGAGCTAATAAACCAGAAGAAAAGAACAAAATATCTCACCTTGGGCCATGGACCTTTGAACCAAGAGTAATTTTCAGAGTTCTGTGACCTAAAGGACTCCTAACCAACAAAAAGTAGAATACAGGGCAAAATCAGGGCTGCTCCAGGGGCCTTCTCAAGATACCCTCATGACCTGAGGGTTTCTGGGGAAAATACTTCTTGAATTTCCCTGGGGCTTTCTATTGGCACAAATGAAATACACTGACATTAGGAGACAGAAAAAATGAGCCAGTAGTGGGTGGAAATTCTGGTTTGCTCTGAGACTTTCAGAAATACGGAATCCATTTCTTCATTCAACACACATTTGTTGAGCACCGGCTGTGTACCAGGCATAACTCAGCATACTCAGCATATAATGGTGCACAAAACAAAGATGGTCCTTGCCTTTAAGGAGTTTACGGTCTAGTGAGGGGGCAGATGGCAAGAAGCGAAGACATAAATAATTACAAATAGCGCTCAACGTTTTGAAGGAAACAAGGCAAGAAGAAAAAGCTTTGTGGCTACCTGGTCATTTGAATGTATTATGCTACCGTGTGTAGATTTGGCTTAAATATTTCTAAAATCTTCAATGCTAGGGAATGAAGTTTTCCTGATTCGATTTGCAGACACACGGAAGCAAGAAGAAATGCTTTTCTCTCTTGCTGTTCACGTTTGATTTCCTGAAAGACCATCCTCCAGCCTGACTCCCCAGCATTCCCCCTTTCTCACTTCAACATGGTTGACTTGCGCCCATTTACTCACGAGCTGACTCTTTTCTCCCTGACCAAGATGTGACGAGTATGGGATGGGAAACCCCCCACATGCTGCCTGTGTTCCTCACTAGAAGGAGCCACACAAATAGAGGATCTGACCAAGAACACTGATGCAATTTATATTTTTCTAGGCAACTGGACGTGACACTGTTGGTTTCCTGAAACCATGCTTTGGAAATTGGTTGCCATTTCTTCAAAATACAGGGAAGTTGAGGTAAGAGGAATCCGCAGAGAAATGAATAAATAAGGTTGACTTAAGGATTAGAGGGCAATTATATTAGTGAAGGTCATTTCTCCAAGGCTACCAAATGGGATTATCATATATATTTTTAAAAATCAGAAAGCCTTGAGGAACTACAAAATAACTTGTTTTTAGCAACTTTCTATTGGGCCTCTGTGTTTTATTTGAGGCTTTTCCACTTTGGTAAAAAGACAGAACTGTGTGGCCAAAACTGGATGGTTAAGTCTCAATCTCTGGTTAGCCCCAATTCCCGCACAGAATTTCTGGAACTAGTTACTGGACAGAGGATGGGCAAGATCAATAGGGCTCTTCATCTCAGTCCTGTCCTGTCTCTTAGTTTCTTCAGCACTTCCTGGAAAAGCAATGAAAAACATGCCAGAGGAGAACACATCATCTTAACATTGGTTCCATCTCCTTTGTCAGTTGGTGGCACTTAAATATAGGAGTTCAAAAATAAATTTCTGTGTAAAATGCATAACCACTGATGAACATCTGCAAAAGCTAGGAAAGGTGCATAGGTGTGTCTGCAGAAGCACAAAGTGCTTTCTGTAGAAGGGTTTTCTGTTTTCTGGTTTTGGTGTTTTATGTTTGACTTTTAAAGAAAAGGTAAATGGGATTTTTCTCTATTTTTTCTTTCTTCCTCCTCCCATTCTCTATCCATCCATCCTTTGGTGTAGAGCACCTGTGCTTGAAGGGAATCTGAGAGGCCTCCAATCTCGTGCTTCCTCCCCTACCCCGCCCTGATCTGAAGCCACTGGTGGACAGTGGTTAAAAGAATTGTCTATCTCAACCCAAACATCTTTCCTCATTTATCAAATGTTAGTGGAGGATGGTGGAGAGTGGTTTGAATTAGTTGCTCTCCAAAGCCTTTTGGAGCTCTACCGTTGTAAGATTCTGTGCTTTGATAGCACTTAATTAGCTAATGGACTTAGCAACAAGTGTCTTGCTTTAACTCCCTTCCTACTTCTTGCACCAGTTTATTTGTGAAACCACTTTTTTACAGGAGAATCCTCTTTTCCAGTCTGCACTTCTTACACTCACGCATGCCTTCTACTCCCTCTGTAGTACCAACTGATGCCCCAGTACCCTGAATTCTCAGGTACTTCTCTAACACACCATCTTTCATCTGCTTTTACCATGGAGTTGGTACTTCACCAAAGTCAGTTGTACGTTTGTTGCTGAATCTGTTTATGCCAGTTGTACATATATATCTGTATATGCTCTAGTTGTAATTATCCTTAGGTAATTCAACGAAATGTTATGTAAATCAACAAACATGGGTGTGAAAAAATTATTTTTCTATGAAAAAGATTTGGGAATAACTTGATAAAGAGGAACCACAAAGAAGCAAAAACAAAAGTCTACTATAGACTTTGGAGTAGCTGAGACAATTATAATAACAAAATGGGGGGAATATCTAGAGTAATCAGTTTGTTTCATAAACTGGTCTTTAAGTACCAGAGTTGAAATGGATGGGCAATACATCATAGATCAGGGTTCTGGAAGAAAGACAACATAGGATTTCAGTTAGCAAACAGATTCCAGGAAAAGCCTTGGCCAAATCTCAAAACACAGGTGGATAAATGTTTATTTAAATGTTTTAGTTTATGATATATGTGCACAATTTTAATTATTAAAGGTTTTAATTGATTTATCTATTAATCATCTAACTCTTAGTCCCAAATATACAAAATTTCTAATTAGAATTCCCAATATTTAGGAAGTCGAGTAGTATAGTAATGGTATGTGCAGGCAACAAAAAACGGACAAAATGAAGATGGAATTCTGGTTTGTCTATTCCATTCTAACATGTATGCATGAAATCTCTACTCTGTGATAGGCAGTAGAACAAAAAACAGTCTTTAGGATATTTGGTTTGTATCTACATTAGGATGTTTTATTATTATTATTAAGTTTCTACCAGCTACAAGAATGAGTCTTAGAATGAATAAGTAACTGTCCTACGTCACGCTAACTAGTGGAAGCACAATTCAAACCCAGAGCATGTTCCATAGAATACTGGGGTTTTTTGTCAAACCTTTTAACATTTACCAAATGTTCTCATTTATGCTATAGTCTAAAATTGA